TGTATTGATTTGCCTATCTAAAATATAGGTTGGAGAGAGTTTTGTATCCCTTATCTATGGTCAGACCTAACTGCCATCAAACTGATGCAAAACAACAGTGGGCTTAAAGAAAGCCATCGTCCTGGCTTCAGTATATCTCTCCACAGATGTTGAGACGCTACCATCCAGCAGGGACCTTGTAGAGCTGGTCAGGCACTGCCAGAACCACGATCTGGAGCTGGTGATTGGGTGTGACTCCAACTCGCACCACATTAGTATTCGAAATTAAGAAAATAGGGAACTTACCAATGGAAAATTGGCCTTTTTTGTACAAACTGAAAAATGTGGAACCAAAGTCTAGGGTTTTTTTTCCAGTAATTCGACAATATATCAGCAAAATAGTGCTTTGGTGCTATAAGAGAGCTAATAGCCACTTTTGACGAATTATTTGAGCCCAAACCTTTCAAAAATCGGCCAAAAAGCCACGAGAAAAGCAAAAAGCTGCTGCTTCTTCTCAATGAAAATGTGGTTCAGTCACGAATCGGTTTCTGGAACCTTGGCGCAGGAATTTAGGTTCTAGGGAAAAGTTAGGCACTTGTCTAATAAGTTTTTCTTGATAATTTTATGATACCATTGCTTAAACAAAACCTTAACCTCAATGGTACGTTGCTTTGTTTATTATTAATATTTAATAAATAATTCCTTATTTCTAGATAAATGAGTTGAAATGACTGATGGTGGAGATATAACAGTCAGGAAGCATTGAGCAAGGTAAGTTATATTTATAATTCAAACCAAGGTACCTACTTAAAAGTTAATTTCATTTCAGAAAGGTTCGAGGTCCCTGAGAGATGATTTTCGGAGGTTCTTTAGTCTTTTTAGGTATTTTGTAAAGACCTATTATTGTGACCCGTAACAACTTAGAAAGTGGAAATAAAGACATTGCAATTAGATATAAGGAAAAATAAGGGTTATTCAGAGCATTAACCCTTCACTTTTGTTGGTGGCACTCCCGATAATCCTCAAGAAATTTGCAGCTTTCCTCCCGTGGATGCATTTCACTAAGAACTTCCTACTTGGTACTCACACAACTTTAATACCATAGATCAGATAAAAGCTTACAATAAATAAGCTTGGAAGCTTATAAAATTTGACTTCATCAAAGATCACTGCGACTACCACATTCAACAACACCCCACCACACAGGTTGTAGGCATATTATTTATTTTATGTACAGGGTGCTGCAATTTGGAGTGTTTTAACAGGAAAAACACACTTCCAGACGAGATAGACGAAAATTGACTTAGATATCATGGGATTGATTTTCGAGAAACGTCGAATGTCAAAAACCGCATCGCAATATTTTCAATGGTACCATTAATACAGGGCGATTTTCGACTTTCCCCTATTATGAAAAATGGCTATAAGTTTTTTATTTATCAATTTTTTTTATTTCTGTAAAAACATTATGGAGACACTTTTTTGAGCACAATCCAGTGGCGGACTCAGTTTTTTTCTATATCGCTCCGATTTCGAGATATCGACCAAATTCCGATATTTTCAAATGAAACAGTTCAGGTTACAGCCTGTCAAAGTTGCAAAAAAGTTAAATTCCAACTGTCAATAATTCCAAAACAGTTGAATTTAGGTATAGTGTATATCACATGAAATCTGCTCAGAATTTTACGTAGAATCAATAATATACAGGGTGTCCCATTTAAATTTTTATTTTTTGTTGTTGTTTAAACTTTCTACAGCACCCTGTATGAGAGAAACTATGTTTTCTGAGAACAATTTTTTGAGCACTACACCTTTCCCATTTATTTTCTATACACAGTGGCACAAAAAAGTTAAGGGGGTGAGATAAATGAAATGACCCTGTGGGTACATAAAATTAGACTGAAAACCACTAAGGCCCAGTTGTAAGTTTTTCCGACAAAATACCCACTAAAATTTAGGTTTTTGAATAGTTTATCGCATTTATTTCACACTTTAGAACTAGTAGATCAAACGTTAGAACCTTTTGTGTGTCTACAGGCGGCCATTATTTGATTGACTGACATCCAGCGCTAACTAAACTCTTTGTTATTGTCTTATTTCAGGGCTTGAAAAAGACAAGATTAAAGTCGAAACGTTGCCAAAATAGTTTTCATCCATCCACGATCCCTGTCCTATAACCCAAGAATTTGTTCATATAAAATTTATTGAGAACACAAAATGGCTCAAAATTCTTAAAGATGATAGAGACCTGAAAATAATCGCAAATCTCTACTGGAATCAGACTGCACGAATCAAGGTAGACCCACAAAAATCTGACGAAGTACGCATTAAAAAAAGGTGTCCGGCAGGGTTGCATATTTCCACCAGTACTCTTTAATATTTATTGGAACAAAATATTTGAATAAGCCATTGAATTAAACAAATACTCTGGAACAGGTGCACTGTTTTATGCTAGTGGGGCAAATTTTGATATATGCAACCCAGCAATATGGAGGGATTATTGTCTCGCTCGCACTCATTGCGATTAATGTAGAAAAAAGAAGAGCTTCTTCAAATTCCTAACCTCAATGATCCAAACACTTCAAACAGCTGTTTTCAATAGCCGCCATAGTGCAAGGAGAGATGCAAATTTCTCTTGTTTGTTGTCCTTTCTGGCACAAACCCTTGCGTAGAAACAATTATGCATCCACCGTTCCAGTGTGTTTGTTTAGTTCATTGGAATAAACATTTGTTTGTTTAGTTCATTGGAATAAACATTAGGAGACTACACTGAGGGAATTTCTATCATCGGCATAACTTTAATCATCTTCGGTATGCGGACGATACGGTTTCAATCGCTGATTCTCTAGAAAGTTTTCAAATATTACTTGATCATTTGGCTAGTGGAGAATTTGGATTAAAATTAAACGCCAAAAAAACTAAATGGATGGTGATTAGTAAAAACCAGGTTGAAGGAGGTATTCTTCAGGCACAGAACCAACAGATCGATAAGGTCCAATCATACAGATACCTAGGATGTTGGGTTAATGAAGACTGTGGCAACATGCAGTAGGTTCGTGCCAGGATTGAACAAGTCAAAGCGTCATTTGTAAAAATAAAGTCCGTGATGTGTAGTCGAGGTCTCTCGCTCTCCATTCGCAGTCGAGTAGGTACTACGTTGCTACGTCTTCAGTATTCTCTATTATGGAATTGAGGCGTGGACTCTGACACATGCCATATGTGAAACGCTAGAGGCTTTTGGAATGTGGACATATAGATAGATGTTGAAATATCTTGGACGGATAAAGTGCGGAATGAAGATGTGCTAACGAGAATGTCAAAAGATCTTGAAGTTATGTTTACGCTTAAAAAGCGAAAGTTAGATTACTTCGGAAACATACTCAGGAATGACAAATACCACCGACTTCTGAAGCTCATAATCAAGGGGAAAATCGACGGCAGAAAGAGGCCCTGGACGTCGAAAAATATCTTGGCTAAAGAATTTGCGTCACTGGTATGGCCAAACCACAAGTCTATTCAAAAAAGCAGTCGACAAAGTACAGATAGAGTTGATGATTGCCAACATTCGTAGGCAATGTCACTTATGACGACTTTTAGCATATAAATTAAATCCCGTAAGCGATAGATGTAAGGGAATTCCAAATTTTTAAAATTAAATTGTTCAATAAAAGTAATTTTTTGTAAAGTGTGTGTGAATTTTTCATGTGATCAACTAATTCGTACATCCCTACTCAAAGATCTAAACTTTGCTTAAGGTTGATTATTTTTATGTGAGATTCCATTATCCAACTGCCTTCATTGTACAATTTCGTGACTATATGAAGTCCCGGTTTATTGTACTAGTACAATGAAGTGCGAACTTATCGCGGAATTAGATATACAAGTGCATCAAAATTTCTCCAAATAAAACATGCAAATTACTGTTTCCACTGAAAACATGCTTGAATGAAAAATTGTCAAGTTTATTTTGATGCACAAGTGTAATGCAGTAGAGTCGACGAACTGAAAGATCCTCAATGACAAACTTTTATTCAGAATATCTTAGATTAAAATAACATCCATAAAAATAAACAAATTGAAAAAATACAGAACCCAGAACGCAGGCATTCACAATCGGTACTATAGACATAAGAAATCTTCGTGTCTTCGACTCGGATTTTTATAGTCACCAGCATTCATGCCATTTGTTAAAAAATTACTTGTCAACCCGGTTTTTCAAATTCTTCCGGAAAAATTAGAAGTAATTATGATATTAGTCCCCAAAAAGGCCCGCTTCATATGCAATTTTCAGTACAAGAGGAAAATATTCAGTAGAATAGATCAGGTGTCCATATTTTGAATAATATATTATATGAGCAGTTACTGATAATTTGCTATGGAAGAAAACCAAATTATTATTATATTGAAACTCACATTTATTATTATTTATCTGGTAATTATTAATGTTTTTGAATAGTATTACTTAGATCAAACAGCAATTGGAAGTAGAAAACTCACAATATCTTCCTTATTTACTTGTTTTTAATGTCATCAAGTGAGGCACAGCATTAAGCATATCAATTTCCTCAGAAGGATGATTGTGACGTTCCAAAAGGCAAGCAACCTCCCCGGATGTGATTATCGCTGCTCTACATTGGCTTCTGGTTTTACAGTATTTAGAGTACTGATTGCATCTCCACCTTGTTCTATCCTGATTCTGCCAATGGACTATAAATAAATAGGAGTCTAATATAAGTTTTGGATTTTTTTTGCCTGGAATTGTGTATATTGTCACTGAAAAAGAAGAACAGAATCATAATTAGGAAATAAAGTAAATTTTAGCAATTATACAACATAAATCCTAGCGACTATTCAAGATGGACATTGAGTACATTGTATTTAACAAAGAATAATCGTCATAGATATATTAAAGAAATAATAATGACAACATAGTAAAATGGTAGTATACCTATACTTGACCTTACTCTAAGATGATCAAGCCAAAATAGGGAAGAAATGCTTTGCTAATGTATTTTTCATGTGGTCAACTACACGTCACTACTCAAGGTTAATTATTTATATGTGCGACTTCATTGTCAATTTGTTTATTGTTTTCGCGGACATAAAGCGCCTCTTTAGTGTATCTATTATACTATTGAAGTGAAATATAATAGTATTAGTACAATAAATCAGGAGACGCGTTATTGAACACGGGGTGGTTCATATCTCCTAGACTAATGAAGGCGAAAAAAAAAAATGTTAATACGAAACTTGAAGATAAACATAAGTGGTACATTTTTAACTTCTCCACTACAAGGGGTGACCCAAAGTTACGTTTTTTAAATGACTCCTGTATATTTTCACCTTTTTGAATTTCGGCTTCAATTCCAAGTAACTTGTCTTCATAACTTCCTATGCCTACCTTAGGTATTTCCAGTTATAATCGAGAATAAAAATAATTTCCATAATTTTTGATGAAAAGATTACACAATATATTCGAAACTAGTTATATTATGATAAATGTAGTTCATCACTATTATTCAACTCTTTTTAACATTATGCTTTGGGGAATAGCAATTTTCAATGATAAATCCTCGCAAGGATGATTGTGACTTTCTGAGGCATGCACCCATTTTCCAGAAATAACTAGAAACGCTTTACAACTTCCCAGGCTTCGTACAGATCTTTTACAGCGCCAGCGACTCTTAGTGCCTGATGTCCTTTGCACGTTAAAGATGTAAGAGTCCAAGACAATTTGCGGGTGTTTTCTGCCATAAATCAAGTACATTGTCCCAACTAGAAAATGTATAAATTTTGAAAAAATAAAAACATACAAAACTTCAATGCAGCATTAGAAAGTAAATGCAATAATCATCAAATGATAAATATAAAAACGATAGAAGCACCCTTCCAAGAGTCTATATAGTTTATTAGGATCTTATTCCAAACAAAACATGTAATCTTAAAAAAAACGTGAAGTAAAGTTTGAAACGTAAAACGTAGGTAAAACATAAAGTAAAGTTTGTAAAAAAATTCAATCACTTGAGTCTTTTCCTAGCAACATTCTGAGGTACTGCAGCATCTAAAGATATTCGTTCCGGTTCTGGTGGGTGATTGTGCCAATGCATTAAATAAACGACACGACCTGAAGTCATCAAGGCGGCTTTACAGCTGCTTTTAGCTTTCGAGTACTGATTACAGCGCCATCTCGTTTTATTTTGGCTCTTTTCGTGGATAACGTATATATAAGAATCCAGGATAATTTTAGGGTTCTTGTTTCCAGGGATTATGTAAATTGTTCCTAAAATGAAATAAATTAAGTCAGAATAAAACTAATTAAATCACGATTAATATTATAGTTTAGATTCAAAATTATTTGAAGACATTATTTGAGGAAGGTTCATAGGGCTTGCATACTGGAAGAAAGAGAGTAAATCTATAATTTTCTAATCAAACAAGCACCGCAAAGCCCAGATAACTCAATGTAATTATACTTGATACTATAACTTTGTGGAAATGTTAACCGCTGTCCAAGGACGTATATATAAAGAGAGGGTTTTGGGGGTTCAAAACTCCCCTCCCCCCACTGAAGTGAATAATTTTGTTTTTTTTTTCAAACGTCAAAAAACCTGACATTTATTTACTGATTTCATGATTTTAAAGTTTAACTTTTATGTCAGTTGACGGTTACTATGGACAACGAAAGTAAAAGACTTTTACCTCCGCTCGTGAGCGGAAGTAAAAGTCTTTTACCTCCGCTCGTGAATATTTGCCATAACAACGCAAAGATTGACATTTTGTCACCTAGTTGGTGGATTGTTCCGTAACATCATTAATATTTGAGAAAATTTTGATTTTTTCTATTATCCACACACGTTTGAAAAAAAATATCGTGTTCTATTCGGAGTAGAAGCTACTTTTGTGACTCGTCTGTAACTTACAGACTCGTCACAAAAGTATCACTTTTACTCCTAATAAAACAATATAGTATTTTTAATGAAAAATAAACGTTTTTGAGCGTGGAAAATTTTTCGCCTTCGGTGATATCTTCCGGCGGCGGGGCTATGCTATCCCAGGTTACCTATACATCGTCTGGTCTAAAATTGAAACCCTTTTCAGCATGAGCCAAGAGCCGCCACTGCTCCAATAAAACATCAAAACATTATGGACAATCCGTTATCTATACCTACTTACGCGTTGTCGGCATTCAGCAATTTATTATAATCGAATATTTTGTGCTGTGAAAAGGTACCTATAGACACACATCCACATTTTATAGAAAATTAAAGCAGCAGGTGGACGAATCTAATCAAAACAGTAATAGCCTGCAATTCAAAGTTAAAAAAAGATTTTCTAATTGTATCGGAAATTGGCATAAATACTAGGATGGGCATTAAAGCACGGATTAACACACAGCTCTATAAAGGATTTGCATTAAATATTATATGCTGATGGTAGAACTTTACTAAACACTACAAAATAGGTGAATATTATGCCAATGGAAAATGGAGAATTGTGGTATTAGGGCAACAAAAATTCTTTGATAACATTTTCTAAGTTTTCAAGAAATACAAAACTTTCATTGGTTGTAAATGTGAATGGGCTGCAACGTTAAGGAGTTCACCCATGTATTTTGGACAATTTTAAGGAAAATTGAGAATATTCAGCATTTAAAACCCATACCAGTAACAAATTATCGTGGAGAGACAAAACCACCTTTAGAAGAATACTTAACACCATTTATAAAAGAATTAAATCCAATTATTGAAAATAGAATTTATTTGAATGGGTATGTAAGAATAAGATAGAAGTTGAGCTGAAATTTTTGGACGGACACACCAGCAAGAAGCTTCACAGAAGACAATAAGTCACCTAACGGGCTTCTTAGGAAATACCATAAGTATTAAAACTGTATTTGATATTTTCAGGAACCTTTGTGTTGCGGAAATAACCCACAACAAGTTTAAACTTTTATTATTTCTAATTTAATATAATCTCAATTTCTATTATTTATCATAAAAATAATATTCTAAAAATAGATGCCTGTAAAACCGGCAACAACAACCATTTGAACCGGTAAAATTACAGGTTTCTTCATTACCCTATGAGACAGTGGAGCTATTTCGCGGCTGTGATTAATCAGTCGCCACACAACATCCCTAGATTTTTGCGACCTGCTCCGGAAAAGTTAGTCGACGCGCATTCACTAGTAGTAGTAATAGAGTAAGCGAAGAGTTCACACCCTCGAGCCCTCTGAACGCTCTCCAAAGGCAAAAACCCCCAAAAAACCCCCGTTAGTACGCGATTTATAGTAAAATACTACTCTGAGTGTCTCAAGGCCTGACATGGTCTATATTATTGATCACAATTCATGTAATTAACACCTAATTTTTGCAAGTCATCTCGGACGAGCAAAATTCTCTCCTACGCCTGTTTTTTGGTTATCTCTCTCTCACTCTCGAGGGGCTCCAACTCACCTGTATATGATTGTGTTTTCTCTCTCAGTGGAAAATTCCTTAGCTGTCAGTGCGAAGAGTAAAAAATGAATAAATAATCGCCTTATGGATTTATCTGTATCAACTGGATTAAGCAAATAAGACCGTTACAATTTCTCCGGACATTAAGTTAATAAATACTGATTAGTGATTCGCTTGAAATGCACTATAAATTGAAGTGTTTTTCTAACCTTTAATGCAGAAATTCGGTTTCCACACTCGTGAAATTAACATTTGTACATTTGTATATAGAAACTGAGCATATATATAAAGACTTTTCTTGCACAATGTTTACAGACTTCAGCAGAAAAGTGCTCAAATTGTTAACTCTCAATAAATAAAAGAACTTTCAAGGATCATTAAACAATTTGTGATTACAGTGAACTGATTGAAGTTGACGAATTATTTATGTTGTGCTCTGGTCCATTTAATTAGTTAATTTGTGTTCTCGTTCTTTGAACATTTAACTATAAATGATATTATTATCATTATCAGATTCCCCTACTTTTCATAAATCAGGATACTTATTTACTTTAGATTAGTATAAAATTGGTAGTTCGACTGGACGTCCAATTAGGAATTTTTAGATAGGATTTGATTGCTGATTATAACTCGGATTATACCGAAATACTTTCATTCATTAATTAAATTGATAACTATTCTATTTCAGCGTTTTATTTGTATAAATGAGAATCAAGGCACCCCTAACCCAATACAAGGCTTAAATTACCCTAATGGTTAATTTTTACAGTCAGTCAAAGTAAAAACTTTTGACAACCCTGATGCGGTTTAACTAAAGCTCAAAAAAGGTGCAATAGCTAGTGCCGTCACACTTTGGATTTAATGCAGCACATAGTTGTAATGTAGTATATATAGTAGGACTAAGTGAGGTCCGTAGGAAAGGAGAACAATAGAGTGGCCTAAATTCAGGTCACCTATTCCACTATGACGGTGAACGAGATGGTTTTCTAGGTGAAGTAGGCTTTATGATTCAAAAAAAAAAACACACAAACAACAAATATCAAAGATTGTCAGTATAAGCCCAAGGGTTATACATCTAATCTTAAAACTAAACCAAATAGCTTGCCTGAAACTTATACAGGTATACGCACCCGCAACCGAATAAGGAGGACGAAGATCATATACGAAGATATCTCAAGACTATGCAACAAGACAAAACCCAGTATATGATCTTAATGGGAGATGTCAACGCAAAGCTTGCCTCCAAGATTGATGAAGCAGGAACTGCCCTGGGCTAGGATTCTGTAACGAATAGAAATATTTTTGCTATCTCTATTGACGTCCCCTCTCTATTGATTTGCAACAGAGAGAAGACAGCAAATGCTATAACGATATCGATAACAATCTCTATCCGTTACAGAAATCCGCCTCTGGAAACAATTGGTTGCGGAGAAAGAAATCGTATAGAGGAGATACAGGGTGCCTCAGAGTAAATTTCTCTTTTCGAATGCGTCCTGTACATCCAACTTAATATAAGTTGCGGTTAGCGCTGGCAATATACGGCGACCGCGTGCGGATTATCAATAAACATGGAGCATTGGTCGAACAAGCAACGCGCGTTTAGTGTCGAGGCGTTTTTTAAATCAAACGATTACTATGTCGCGGCGCGGCGACGTTTTTCTAACCCTTACAATATTCGGCGTATACGTGATACTCCGTCAAAAAATGTATTGAAAACATGGGTTCAAAGATTCAGACAAAGTGGTCCAATGGCAAATCCGAAGCGTCCCGGCCAACAGAAGTCCGTCAGAACGTCAGAGAACATTGGGATTGTGTGACGTGCTGCGACTGAAAATCCGAGGCCGTCAATTCGAAAACATGGCGGGACGCTTCTGATTTCTCAATTGCCACTGTACCACTTTGAATCTTTGAACCCACGATTTCAATACATTTTTTGACGTAGCGTCACGTATACGCTGGATATGGTTACGGTTACGACAACGTCGTCGTGCCGCGACATGAGAATCATTCGATTTAAAAAACGCCTCAACCATAAACGCGCGTTGTTCGTTCGACCACTGATCCATGTTTACTGATAATCCGCACGCAGTCGCCGCATATTGCCAGCGCTTACCTTCCCACAAATATTAAGTTGGATGTACAGGGCGCGTTCGAAAAGGGAAATTTACTCTGAGTCACCCTGTAAATTCCTGGGCTTTCTCCTACAATACAGACTGCACGCCATGAACCGCTTTTTTAAAAAAGACCCACTTCGTAAATAGACCTGGTCAAGCCCAAATAGTTCGACGAAAAACGAAATCGATTTTATCGTCACTGATAAAAAGCATATTGTCCAAGACGTCACTGTATTGAACTAATTCGCGGCAGCTGGCGACCATACGCTGGTTAGAGCAAAAGTTAAAATAAATGTTCGGAGCAAAAAAACTAAGTGATGTCAAAGATCCAAAGCAAAAAATGGACATCGATAGAGAATTAGACGGCATATCAAGAGGAAATGGAAACAAAGCTGAGAAACCTGGAACAACTGAGAGACGACGAAATAAACGTGGACGATTCAATTCCGAAAATTAAAAATATCATAAAGGCAACTCAGAGAAATCATTGCGTAAGAGCGAGAAAGAAATAGGAAAAACTGAGTCACAGTACGAAGAAACCTATGGAGGCAAAAAGAGATATGAGGGAAAAATTCGTGGAAGCATTTAGATAATTGAATAGGAATATTTTCAAGTCTATCAGACAAGACGTCCGAAAGTACAATAATCGTACAAATAGCTCAAGTAATTGAAGACATCAAGAGCTTAAGAGTGCTCCGGGGGAACCTACGGAAGGTAGGAAAAATATTTATTGGCTCGCTGTTAGAAGCGGCAGTATGCAGAGAGGTAGAGCGAAAGTTCTTGAAATAACCGAAGAATCCTACATGATGCTCTATAGAAAAGAGGCAAATTTTGCAAATACGGGGCAGATACCGAAGGTTCAGAGTGTGGCATCGGAGGATATCCCAGAAATAACTATTCCCCAAATAACAACTTCGGTTTTGGAAATGAAAAATAACAGATCTTTAGGAGACGACGGTATTTCTTTAATGTATGCCTTCTTAAAAGCAGAACACCTGCCCAGTGGCATACTGATGTTATTGTTATCATCCACAGAAAAGAAGACATTTTACAGATCTAAAAAACTTTCAGCCCATAAGCACAAAAAGACTAGACAATTACCAACCACGAGAACAAGCTGGATTCCGACGCGGATATGAAACGAACGACCACTTACAAGCATGAAAACCTTAATTGAGAAATGCGTAGAGTGCATTAAACCGCCCATTCTCATAATAAGAAAAGGCATTTGAAACTATTCACCAACATAAAATGCTCCAAGATCTTTCTGATTGCCGAATAGACCACCGATACACCGCTATAATTAAAACTATCTATGAAACCGCAAAATCACGTGTTAGGCAAGTTCAAAACCGAACGAGGAGTTCGCCAGGGTGACACCATATCACCAAAAATATTTACAAACTTACTGGAATACATGCTGAAGGAGATAAAATGGAATAACTTGGGAATTAATATAAATGGAGAAGACTTGAACCTCCTTAGGTTAGAATAGAGAATAGGACTCACCTGGTCAGCTTTTGAGAACCTGAATGATGTATTTAGGTCCGATATCCCAATATGTTTGAAGAGAAAAGTATTCAATCAGTGTGTCCTCTATCAATAAATTTCAAGTTACACAAAGAGCTATGGAGAGAGCCATTTTGGGCATTTCTCTAAGACCCAGAATCCAGAACAACGAAATAAGAAGAGGAACAGGTATAGCGGATTCCGTCAAGAGAATAACAACGTTTAAACCGGATTGAGCAGGATATATTGACCACAACTGACGACAGATGGAACAAGAAAATTCTTGAGTGGAGGCCGAGACACGAGGCTTACCGAAATAGAGGTCGACCATCAACGAGATGGACTGATAATATAGGGCGCATCAAGCATAACTGGATACAGGCGGAAGGACTGGCACGGATTACAGGAGGACTATGTCCAGCAGTGGACGCGACAAGGCTGATTGATAATGATGATGATGATGATGGTTATAATAATGTACTGTTGTTGGTGAGTACCAAAAAGACCTTGGAATGGATCAGAAATTAGATCAAGATCATCACAAAGAAAATAGTCTTTATTAAAAATTCCAGTGATATGATAAGTGATCTAATAGTAGCGGACTCATTGAAGTTATATACTTGATTTGGGTAAGTACTTTTTTGTTTATTACTGTTTTCTGAACTATTGGCGATATCTATTATTTTAATGGAATCATGTCGGACTTATGCGAAAATGTTTATACGGCTAGGTAGGTAACACTTATAACTTTCGCAGCAAACTGTCCTGACAACAATTTAATTCTATTACTGAAAGGTTACAGAATTGCAACAATAGAAAACCAACTGGAGTTAACTGCGCAATAGAAAATTTCAAGAGCCTGAAGTTTTGGAAACCTGCAGATTTTCGCACATTCTCATTCTACGTGAGTTTCCTGGTTTTAAAGGACTTTTCACGTGTCGAAGCTTGTCACAACTTTTCAGCTTTGTGTGGTGCCACAATAATTGTTTTTTGTAAAACATTCTTACCTCATATTCATGTGGCAGAAAAATTATATAAAGATAACATCAAACAGTTTAATACGTGATATACTCGGAATTCTATAAGCAGCAACGTCCATCATTTATGACATTTAGTAAATAATGTGAATAACTTTGGATATCTTTCGGAAATCAGCTCATACCCATTTGAAAACTTTTGTAGATAATTAACATCTTTGATTCGCACTGTAAATCGACCATTGGCTGAAATATCTAAACGCATGATTGAACTTCCCAAATTAAATAGTGTAACAAATATGGAGCCTCAAGTCAAGTAGAACAGCATTTTGTTTAAAATGAAAGTATAAATCGTTACTTTCTACCTCTACTAAGAAAAAATTCATATTTTTGCGCCTGCTAAAGCTTTTTTGAGCTACCAATTAAATCGTTAAATTGAAACAGGTAATACTAGGGTACCTATACAAGGTAGACCATTTAAAACGAAACAGGCTAATATCTGATGTCACTTTTTTTTTAAATCGCTCGTACACGTAATTTGATTGTGTGAGTTTTTGAAACATTTTCAGCACTAACTTAACCCCTCTAGGGAGGGTGGGACCAACCCTTATCATTCCAAATAGAATAGCGGGTCCAGTGATACCTGTTTCAAAAGAGCGTTCAATTTTCTTTCAAAATTTGATGTAATGTAAGAGAATTGAACGCTCTTTTAAAAGAGGTATCACTCGACCCCTTGTTCTATTTTCCATTTGAAATAGTAAAGGTTGGTCTCACCCCGCCTAGAGGGTTAAAGTTGAAGTACTAAAAATGGTTGCAGAAAACTCCCCCCTTTGAAAATCAATTTACGTGTACGAGCGCTATTTTTAAAAATAAACGTGGCATCAGATATTTAGCCTGTTTCGTTTTAAATGGTATACCCTGTATATACAAGTCTGGCAAGTCAATATCTGACACAGCATTTCCAGCGCTCCATGCTGGAGGTGGAATAGGGGAAATCGTTTTCGTTCTCTATTTAACCTTAGACTTTTTCTAGACATTTCATTCTATTGCATTAAAATTAGCCTGTAAGATGATGGTTTGCCAGACGTGTATATAAATCTGATAGAAAACAGTTTGTTGCCGAATTCAAGTGAAATTAAAAATGTAAATTAATGTAATTTGGTGCCAATAATTCACCAAACATGTTTATGTTAATGTTACCTACTTACCTGTGATACTATTACTTTTATTTTTATACCTCAATATTCTCTCATAATCCTGTTGGAGGCCTTGTGAAAGAATATTGAGAATAAATAACCAAAAAATAAGGTGAAAGCATAGTAAAAGTATTATGAATCCATATACAGATATATTACTTTTTTCATTATGGTTATTGGATATTGTTATTTTCTTTTGTAAATTGAAAATAACTTTGTAAGTAATAAAAAAAATTCAAAATGAATATTCAGTATGCACATTTATTTAAAGAAATTGATTCCATTACAACAAAATAATATCAATTATTATCATCTGTTTCTAAAATTTCTTTATTCTGGGATCCTACTTTTTCATCATCATCCTCTCTGCTTTCAACAACATTTTCATTAATTTGATCTTTAGGTAGAATAATTGCTCTGTAATACAAAGTATACCAATATCACGTTTTCTTTACCAAGAAGCATTGAAATTACCTTTTACGCAGACTTCTTTTTTTAGCATGTTTCAAAATCCCCTCTTTCAATATGTAAGCATTCTTTTGCTTTGTGTGACGATTATCGGCAAGTGAAATAACTTCAAACAATACAGTAACTATCCCTTCCAGTATTTGAAATGTCATTTTCTCACTCGATTTGCCTCTGGATATTCCCGTCCACGTGTAATTTACCAGCACATCTGGGCGAAACAAAAAGTCTATTATTTTATATGCTATTTTTGCCCCGTCTTCGTTTCCACTGGTGCCTCCAATTCTTGATAAAGCTAAAACCTATGGAACAATATTATTTTAAATTTAATTAATGCAATTTTAATTGTACTTGACTTACCAACTGCCCTTTAAATTCAATATTATTACGAATCTCTTCGTCCAGTATAGAAATATCCGCAGTGGAAGAGAGCGGGAACTTGTATTTTTCTAACAAATCTTCAGTAGGAATAATTGGAACATAATTTTTCCTGATAAATTCGTTTTCACAGTTACATGCGATATTTTTTTTGGCTGATAAAAGATCATAAATCTTATCCAAATTAAGATTTAGTTTGGTGTTCTGGAATTTGATTTCCTGTTTAATATTGCAAATGTCTTGTTTTATGTTTGCAACATCTTTTTTAATTTGCTGAATATCGTTATTATGAGCAGTCGCCGTCAATTGCTCTAAAATAAAACTATTACAAGTATCATACATGTGTCATGTGTGATAAGAAATATAGGATATTTTAAAAATACAGTCATTAGTGCCAGGGTGCTCAATAGAACCTTGATTATTCATCAGGCGACTTTTGTATTTCTGATAGATTTAATACGGCGGCATCGAGGACCCCGGCAATAATCACTCACCCTGTATAGTTGAGTTATCTGCATAACCTATGCTATTGCTTTTATGCAAGTTATAGGGTGGAAATAAGAGATGTTTATTTTATCAGGAGTGTAAGTAATACTTAGGTGACGCGCATTGAAATTTGGTTGGATCTGGTTCGGTTAGGTATATGTGGTCAACGATTTAGATGAGCTTCGTTATCAAATAACAAGAGAAATCCAAGAGATAACAATGCTCAAGTGCTTTGACATGTATCCGATAGTGAGAAAAATTGTTTTATAGTGGATTGAAGTAGGGGTGGACATATTCATCTCCACTTGTAATAAAATTTATTAAGTTACCTACCAGTCTCTCTATTTTGACTGATTTTGAGTTTTGGAGAATCCACAGGTTCCACTAAGATAACACTTATCTTATTGTGTAAATTCTTGTTCGCCCGAACGCACAGTTACCAACACTTACAATGTTTTTTGTTTATTTTACATCATTTTTATTGAAAAGTAATTCAAGAAATAAAATGATATTTAGTGACAGTTGCCATCAAACCATACGAACCTATCAACAGACTCACGTTAATTAAGAAAAGAGAACCTCATAGCTAACTACGACCATAACAATTATTGAACACCCATTAGTTTTCTGTAAAGCTGATTTAACAGCAATTATAATTTCATCTTTCTTTTGTTGTGTTGAAAAAATCGCTGGTGTTATTTATTGAGTTCCTTATACAACGGATGCCGCTTTATTTGGCTTAGGGTTCTTTCGTTTTCAATGATTTGAACTCTGTGAGTGTATTTGGTAAGTTTTGGATGCTGATTTTACAGAATTTAACTATGAGAAATAATTCTAAATGAAAATATAAACGTATTATCACTAGGTCTAGAAATAAATAAATGCATGATGGTTTGGTGGATGCGCAAGGAAAGATAAAACCGGACTGCTTTTATAGAAATAGAAAATCAATACAGCTGAAGTGTTTTTGGTAAGTTTTGAATGCTGATTTTACAGAATTTAACTACGAGAAATAATTCTGAATAAAAATATAAACGTATTATCCCTGGGTCTAGAAATAAATAAAATATGAAAGTTTGGTGGATGCGCAAGGAAAGATAAAACCAGACTGCTTTTATAGAAAATCAATACAGCTGAACGGCTGAACAAAGGAATGGAATAGCGGAATGGCGTCGTTACTCGACGAAGCGTAAACTTTGACGAAGCAGATAGGATTGCCTGAGCGAGGCAAAACAGTGCTAAAAACTATACATTTCAAATAATTGCTTATTATTATACCTAGTTTTGTAATACCCGTAGGTATTAAATCTTTGTATTTTTCCGTGTATTTATTCATGTAGTTCAGGGGGCCAACATTATTTTGTTTTTCATAATGCTGATTTATGTTGCGTTTAAAGTTTTTCGGTTGTCACCCTGAACTACATGAATAAATACACGGAAAAACACACAGATGTAATACGGGCATAAGCGTAGAAACTTATTGCCATATATGGCTATTTTTAGTAGGTGTCACTAACATAATGTTATATTGTAGATTGTTAAAACCTATAACTTTTATTTATTTTTTTCTGAGAAAAATAATAGAAGTAAAAACACACGGTTAAAATATGATCGATATTGGTTTATCAAGTACCACACTCTTATCGGTCTCATTACAGAAATTAATGAGAGCTATTATTGGTGTTCGATAAATACCGAGCAAATTAAACAAATTATTAATTAAAATCTTTCCTGCGTCTCTTGTCATTTTTATCAACCAATTAATGGTCATTTGAACTGATAGACGCAACATTTAAGTGAAGGAAATTTTCAGTTATTGAGATATTTGATGTCTACTAGTACAAGTATTAAGTACATATTACAAAATACAAGAATCAATAGCTGATGTAGGTACTATGTACCTAATTTATGAGGCAGTTTGGGAGGAAATAAAGGAAGCTAGGGATTCTTGGAAGATCTGCTAATTCGGGTTATTTGTTGAAGTTGCTCTTGCTTCAATGGGCTTCCTTAAGAGTAGACGGTTATTCAAACTTCAGGCAGGTACCTAGTCGTCTATTTCATTGAGGTTTTTTTTTCTGTTCCTAATCTAAGGATTCTTTTACTATACGTCTTTTGAGATCGTTGTCTGGGGTTTATGAACTGACTCTATCGATTGTATCCATGACCCTTTTCATATAAGTATGGATGTATGGAAATAAAGTGATACAGTTGGTTCTATACTCTTTTTTACCCCTATGCGTTGTATAATTTTATATGGCTCGATCTCCTTTTTGATGGTAGTTTCCCTGTAATCATTACATAGCGCAGTTTTGATTGTACACGAGATTGTGCTGGTTTTCTACGTAGGTACAGCATATCTGTACAAAATATGGAATACTTATCATACCTCGGTAGTCATCTTCCAAAAAATAAAAATATCTTGAAAATATAAATTAGTATAGCTTACTACACGGAAATTGGTCCAAATTCAAAAAGGTAACAGATGTTTTGCTGATCAAGTTTTCGATTTTTCAACTAAACAACTTGTAACACTTTTATTTTACGTAAGAAAAATCAATTACCAAAATGTAACCATATTTGGATTGCGACCTTAGTTCAACAGAGTTTGTTAAAGTGTCCACGTGCCCGGTTCGTGGATTCGTGCGCCACCAATTTTTGAAACTAAATCGGAAAAGTCCTGCGATGACTGCAGGTTGAACTAAAGTACAAACCAAATTATTATGCCTGAAATGTAAGAAAATAATTGGATAAGCAAAAAGACAAAGAAAGCAGGTAATTGGCAATACAACAAAATCAGTATTTATTGAATATTAAGTATTGATTTAGTACAAGTTATGGTGATTAAATAATGATTATAACAAGTATTCAGAGGCTAGTATGACGACTAGCAGGAATAAAGAACCTAAAGGCTTCCTCATAGTCAGATTTAAGAAAACTGTCTGTCGGTATTTATATGTATGAATACCTATGTAAGCAGAGAGCTATACTTAAAACTAAAATAACCAATAAGTGCGAATTTACACACACCCAGCGTCAGTGATCACTCCGCAAAGAAATGGGGTCAAATGTTTACTTAAATGTGAGTAACTAAAGTTACTTAAGCCATATACGATATTTTTAAATAATTAATAAAAAAAAATTACACTAAACTACTTAGCTTTATGCCGACAATTAACAATGGGTCTGGGATTTCACATTTGTACCAGATGATCTATCTCATCAATGAAAACTAGTTCGCCGAGTCTTTGCTATTCAGATACAGTGGTGGGTACTGCATACCATCAAAGCATCCACTGAGTTGCGTTATCGAAAACGGTAGCATAAAACCGTACCATAAGACCCTAAAGAAAGCACCAATGAGTAAATAAATTACCCTTAAATCCCCATTGAAATTATGCCACTTGGGATATGAAATTGTACATTTCAATTCCCAAGTTTTAACCCATTTACTAAATATAATGAGTTCAATTCATCAAATAAGTTGTATTGCCAAAAAAAAATAATATATTTAAATAAAAAACTATAAGTCTACCAATCAATGCGGCCTAGAATGGTCCCCCAATAAAACATTAAAATGGAAAATTGCCATTATAATTACCTCGTGGATTTTTGAGGGTCACAGCTCAAAGGTTGAAGGTGAACGGAAGGTCATGGAACTCTAATTTCACCTACGCTGGCTGATCCAATTTGGAAGTTCACAATAACGAGCAACAATAAAATCAAGGCTCTAAGAGTCTAGGCTCAAACAATTCAATCCAAGCGACGTGATGTGATATTCTATTGTGAGAATAGAACTAATTAATTTACAATAAAACAAATTCACAAAATGGTGGACTTACCGACTAGAAGAAATAGATAAATCCCTTAGAAAGGTGATTTGGCTGCCAAAAGGTAACAAAAACCAAAACTAGACTGGCAAAACCAAAATTGAAATTATCTGGATGACCTGATCCTAATTAAATAGAGAAAATCACTTAATTTTCTTTATGGTCAACCGGATAAAAAAACTATTCTTCAGGCCAAAGCCAAAGTGTTCTTGTCGCTGGACGAAATGGAAAAGACCGTTGTACGATTTTTGGGACCCTAAACCAGAAATTTCTACGCACTAACTTTTTTTTATGTTACATTTTTTTTCTATCGAATTTCACATTCCACACTTTAGGAAGGATTGAAAGATAACGACAAAGATATCGATAGTCGTCAGCGAAACCTCCAAAGGGACTCAACAAATGGGACCGAATCAATCCACACTAATCAGGAAAACACTATTCTCATTAAAATCTATAGATAACTTCACTTATTAAATAATATTGTCCATACCTTCTCTGACACGACACCAATTATATCGACATGTATTGAAAAAAACCCAACCCTACGCGACCAAAACCAAAGTACCAGCAAATTGATCGATATAGGTACTCGATAACAGGTAGATAAAAGAAACGAAATCCTCCAGTAAGAGAGAGACAGAGAGGGAGTGAAAACTAAAGGAATTAATCCTTCGAAATGAGCCTGGCGCGAAAATAAAATTGAATGACAATTAACTGGACATAACCCCTTTTTATTTGAAAATCAAAACAATGTTGGCTATCGACTAATGAAATTGATAATTTATGTATATTCCTTTTAAGGACAACAAGAATAAGATAACCAGGCATTGTTCAATAAATATTCATCTGCAATGGTCAACTAAATCATTAGACAAATGATAAGGAGCAAAATCTTGTCTGGCTGTGCCTGAAATTATCTAAAAAGATGCAGAGTAAGGTAATTAATATCCAATCAATTAAGTCAGCTCTAAAATAATATTTGTGTGTTACCAGTTAAAACGCTGAATGACTCATTTAATGGGAAGAGCAAAATTAAAATGTTACAAACTGATTATTCCATAATGTCAAGTTAATGTTAAGCAAAGAAGAATTTTAATTAAATATTAACGTGAGGAATTTGATTATGGTGCAACAAAAATTGGTACATTTGAACTATAGGAAAATTCTTAAAACATCTAAGGGAAAACAATTTGTCTATTGAACATAGAAAGGAAAAGAGGAAGGAAGCGAAGCTCGAGAACTGGAGAAAAAATTGATAATAGGGTGAGGGCATTATAAGAAATTTGCAACCTGACCAAGCTGACCAAACT